ACCCCCTAAGACCAAGCACTCAACCAGCCCTCCAATGGCCCTATCCAGCATACTGCAACCATTGACCTAGACCCCTTGGGCGGAGTGCATGCAGTGTCTGTATAAATCTTACCATGCATCGTCCCAAGGCGTGTGTGTGTGCAACCATTGACCTAGACCCCTTGGGCGGAGTGCATGCAGTGTCTGTATAAATCTTACCATGCATCGTCCCAAGGCGTGTGTGTGAATGGCTTTTGCGTTATAAAAGCACTTACCGGTGTATGTGCGCGAGGCAACGGAGTTTTGAACCCACAACCTCATACCACAACACGCATTTCCAACCGGTGCTCTAACCGCAGCTGGTAGCCTAGCTGAGCTCCGATTTTCAGGGTTCGGTGACAATGAGAGTGTTGGCTGCAGCAAGTATGGAAATAACTCTGGTGTCAACAGCTTTCTGCAATAGGGACAAAGGCCCGAACAAAGCATTGAACCCCCTTGGGGAAGACACAAGGGACTCCTCCTTGAGCCAGGACCCGATGCAACTCACTCCCGTCTTGAGTGCGTTGTATCATGTTTTGACTTGCTGGTGGAATAGGAACTGGATTGACGGTCGTAACGCATCGAGGGATGCGCAAGTGTACGGTGTTTGAAGGATATATCCCGTGTTGATTGTACTATTGTATCATAGTTGTGTCCTTTCTCCGTGAAAAGAAAGTACAAAAAAGGAACCGGACTGACACTCCCCAGAATGGATATGGAGCCAGAGTCTGCCTGAGCCATACGGCCGTGAGTTATTTCATCTAAATGTGTATGTACACGAAGACATGATTTATACTGAATACTCAGCTGCAGGAGCCGAGGTATGGCAGTTGAAGGCTAGCATTAGCCGGACATGGGCACTAACAAAGTCATTAATAGATTCACTGGATGGCGTAAAATGTATACATCACTCATAGGTAGAGATTTAGTTCTTAAAAACATCTATATTCTCCATGGCATGGTACACAACATCTATATGAGACCCACCAAAACACCTTATAACAATGCTAAAGAAAAAAACAAGGGCCTACCTATGGCCTGGTGATGCATCCAAGGCAAACTTCATCGCGAAGGTAACTTGGAAGTACACAGCCAGACCGGCAATCAAAGGAGGCATGGTGATAGTCCTGAGTACTCAATACTGAGGTAGGATAGTAGGGATAGGGGTGCGCTAGGAGAATTGCCAAGAGGATGGGTAGGGAGGTGGTCTTACGGAGCATAAGGGAGTGTCAGAACAGGCAATAGCTGTGGCAGTAACCCCGTGTGTCCGGAGTCTGGCTTCTACAACAACCTGGGCTTTTTACTCAAAAACCAAAACAAAAAAAAGGAGGCCTGGGTCTGCTAAGTCCAATAATAAAATACAAAGGACTACAAAATTAGTACAAATAAAAAACAAGGTAACTAGATTACTATTACACGAAGAACTCCCATGGCATGATATTTACTCTATACTAGATCTGTAACAGTCGCTCAACTTCATGCCTTTTGAAGTGGATTCACAAATAGAGGGTTACCACTAGCAAATGAATGAATACCGGACAACACAAACAAAAAATAGCACCAGGAGGGAAAATCAGCAAGCCCCCAGGGAGCCCCCAAGCAGACACTGGATGGCACTCATGAACCAAAGGAGGGAGTCCTTCCCAGAAAAGGTCAGAAACCCTGTGTTAGTCCCCGGGCGGCCCGGCTGGGGGAAGGTCGCCCAGGTACCCTCCCGGGGCGCACCGGAACGGGCAAGGGCCCGGGCAGGGTCCCGGTCGATCCCAATGCATAATATTTTGAAAAATAGAAAATAAAAAAAAATCAAAAAAAAAAAATCCGAAAAAAAAAACATGTCGCATAAAAATTGGTAAAATAATACTAAAATTGCAATACAAACGAGTTGAAACGACTTTTGGCTGAGGGCCACCTCGAAATTCCTTGTTAATTTCAAGATATAAATAAATGAGAAAACATGAGTCCAAATGTACCCTTTTAACTTTTAAACCCTTTAGTCACTGTTTATACCCCCCAACCCCCCCTGGATGAAAAATCACAAAAACCAAAGTTATGACTGGATTCAGACTGCTTAGGCCAAGTGCAGTCCTGGCCTGAACTCTTTTTTTTAGGGGGGGGGATCCTTGCCTCTTTTTTTACCCGTCTGGTTTTGCCGGGCAGCCCCCCCTCTGCCCAGCTGGCCCAGGCGTGCCTGGCCGGGCGACGGCCCAGCATAGCAGAAAACCAAAACCAAAAGTAGGTCTCGGGTAACCCTTTTTGGAAACACACTATTGAAAGACAGCAACAACAAACTATGGGCACTAACAAGTGAAAATAGGCACTGGAGAGATGGGTGGAAAAGGGAACATGGAAAATAGATGGAATGAAAATGGACAAAGATTGTTACCTTAGGGCCTCGCTGGATGGTTGAATGAATGGGGGATCGCAGTGGAAGGATTGCCTGCTTCCCATGACAAAGCCCATCCCATAAGGGCCATGCGGACTTGGCACCATCCCCACCTTCCTCCAGTATATCACTGGCAGTTTTTTGTGAGTGCAGCACATCGTTGCGATGTCTTAGCAGCGCAAAACGAGGGTTGGGCTTGTTATAGGACCTAACCCAACATCTCATGACACCAGCAGACGACAGCCACTTACCCAACATCTCATGACACCAGCTGATCACAGCCACTAGAGCGGGGTAGTTGATGACAGAGGTCTGGGGGGAGGGGAATGGCTGAGGACCGAGATTGGAGTCAATCTGGGTGATGACAGAAACAACACACCACCTGGAGAGGGTCTAGCTGGCGACTGAGGTATGGGGGTAGATGGTGGCTGTGTACTTACTGATGACAGAGGCTGGAGTTCAACATGGCCTGAACAATTGTAGTACCAATCACAAGCAACTGGATGACTGAGGTCCGGGGACAGGTGGTGGCTGTGTACCTACTGATGAAAGAAACTAAAGTACCTCCAGGTGATGCAATTAAGAACTACCAGAACCACCAACAGTACTGTGCTAGGTGGGTATACACAGGTTGCTCAGCGGATGCCACAGGTTAGACCTTGGCCCCGGGGAGGGGAGGGGGGGGGGGGGGGGAGAATTCACTAGCGCTGCCTGTGATAGCTAGGGTGTGCACATCATCTTCCATACACTCGGTACCCGGGTAAGTGTGGGGGCCATAATGGGTCTACCCATGGGGCCTGTAGAGAGAAAGCTTATGCCTAGCACCCAAAGTACCTGTGCAACAGGGCTCGCTCAAGCACGCTTCATCCAGGGCTGAGCGAGGTTCCTGCTCAGCCCTGGTGCCTGCAACTGCTGTCAGGTCAGGTCACCCTGCCAAGATGATAGGAGGGTGATGGTCCTGAGTGGTAGACCCTGAGGTAGGACTGGAGGAGTGAGGGTGTGGAGGGAAGATTTGGCAAGTGGAGGGCAGGAGGGGTCTCATAAGGGGTAAGACACAGGCATTAAAAGAAAGACAAAAAAAAAGAAAGTAAAAGATCAGCCTTGGATGCAGTGCAAGACTGTATGAAGACGATGGCAAGCAACATCATGATCTCCATCCCACACACTTGATTGTGGTGTTTCCACACAAACAAATGCACATCGTACGGTCAATTTGTGGTTTCCCCCACGTGTCTGCAGTGAACTTGCTAAGACGATGGTGTGCATCCCCACGTTTTCTTGGATACCTGACACCTAACAGCGGACAACACAAATGGCGTGGAGCATGCTCACTGATTTGCCTGCTCCTCACACATCTCTCAAAGCCAAAGGAATCTAATATACTCGAAAAAAAGCAAAGGCCGCAGGCTCGCTGAAACTCTCAACCCTCAAATCCGTAGTTTGGGATTGTCCAGCGGTAGAAGGTACTAGTGGTCTGAGGTGCTTGTTTGGCAGAAACAGATCAAGCCCCGAATACAAAGAAAAATAGCAATATTGAATATTCACAATTGGGCAACCAACCACCCCAGAAAAAGACTGCCATAAAAAGAAAATACACAGCTTCGTCGTTGCAAATTTGCAGCAAAGTTATGGAGTTATGAACAGATGCATGTAAATCCCGAACGAACAAAAAAAGTACAAAGGATATCATACATAAGTGGTTCAAGTGGGACTTCGTTGTGATATGATTTTGTTCATTGCGCCAGAAGTAATTTTTTTGTAGCTTTTCTTTGGGCTTTCTTTCATGTAAGTAGTTCTCGCCACCTTTTCAGCCACAGCCATACCTCCTGGGAAAAACGGGATTTGAACTCATGACTTCTGGGCTGGAGATTACATTGGGTAGGAATATAAGCAGACACATCTCCAGCTTGTATTTCCATAACAGGTAAGCCTATACGCTGAGCATATAGCTTAGTTGGTAGAGCATTGAGCTACCATAACAATCTCCTCGTGTACCTACGGGTACATCAAATTATGATTTGCCATAGACATTGTAGGGTGCTGGTTTCTTAGCTAGACCCCCTTATATGAAGGAGTGGTATTTCAGGCTTGGTGCTGGTTTCACAGTTAGACCCCCTTATATGAACGGGTGGTAATTGAGGCTTGGTAGTCACTGATGTCCGCCTCCACCTATCCTGCACATTCAATACAGGTCTGTGTGAAATAATAATTCCCAGAGCTTTGACTTTTTTTACTTATTTATGGACCTTTATGGTCATAATTGCAGTCAGGTACATCCAAGTAGAAACGTAATTACTGCCAGGTAGATTTAAGATTGTGTGCTCGTGTGAGTATGCTCTAAGTGTGTTGCGATTGATGGAAGTTTTACGTCTGATCTGAAAGAACAGGATATCACACCACCCAACAACGAGCATTCTCATTTTGTCGACAACTGGGCATGCTATTCTGATAGTCATCATCATCCAGCCACATCTGACCAACTGGCTCAAGGTATATCCACGAAAGCAGTACACCCATGGAGTCCATCCTTGTAAGCTGCGATAGTCCCATCTGCACACCCCCCACATTCCCTCTGCTGATGGGCTGGTTCTCATCTCGTTATCTGCTACGTGCACTCTCACCAACTGCATTATCCCACCCATCTGATCTGTTTCTCTCAGTGGTTTGCAGGTATGCTGTGATGATCCCTCAAGCATTCACTTTCTGTTTTTGACTTCATGGCACCCCCATCTTACCCCCCTTTTCCCCATCCGCTGGGGATGCACCGGCAGTTTCCTCCACTAATGCCTCAGTTTCCTTTGCTGGCAATACAGTGGAAGTCTCATCCACTCCAGACACAGTGCAGACGTCAGTCCAGGCATGCAATGTTGCATGTGTGACGTGCAAGCCACTCAGCAGCACACAGCCTCTAGCGTTTCCAGCTCCAAGGATCAATCACGTGACTTACAAATTATTGGACACTGTCCGACAATTGAGCCTGCCCAAATGCCACTCCAGTCCTGCTACCTTTGTTAAGGATATCGCCAATCCTTGTGGTCTGGCTGCTACAAATGCATGTCCTCATGCCCACTGCTCTTCCCAGTTTCCAAGCAGAAGGGTAACGGTACCAGTTTTTTTCTTTTCTTTTTTTAACAACAAAACATGCACATGGGCCGTCTATTCTGCAGGGGTGTCAGTCCGGTTGCTTATCGCTGGCAAGTATGTGAAGAAGGAAGGAAATGTCAGCGCCTCAGCCAGGGCCCTGGACCACCCCTTGAACTGTATGTACTATTCAACCGGAAAGGGCAGCCTACAGTCTGGCCGCTCATACCCCTGTCGCTGGGAGACGTCTGCGTACCTAGGTGATGTGCATCGATTGTCAATATTTCCAGGAAAACAACAGTACTCCTGATGGTGGTGTGGCCCTTTGATGCTGTGGGCTCACCAATTCAGGACAGGTGAAGGTCATTTGGCACTGGTTTATTACTAGAACCCCAAAGCCTTCCAACCCTGTACCACCCTGATTAACCCTTCATACCTAACTCCTCTCTCCAAATCCCCCCCGAAAGCCATAAGAGCTCTTTAACCTGTTATTGAGACACCCTTCAGCCTCTACAGGATAATTCACTGCTCTCTCCACATCGTCTCATGCGTCCTTAAGAGTGCAGCGCAGCCCAGTTGCCCTGAAGAATTTCCAAGCTGAAGCTACACAATTGTGCATGCCAAGCTATTCCAAACTACACAATTGATGTGCGGAAAGTTGCAATGAGGAACCATTAACTTGAGGTGTGCCATGCTCGTCCGGCCAACTGTTTTCAGCCTCTGTCTCATAGTCCTGGTTGCATTGTATTTGGACCTGCCACTACATGGCCATTGTTTGTCTTTGACCGCTACAAAATGGAGACAAATGATACCCTGGGTCACATTAGTGATATCCTCGGCAATGATACTGATTTCCTACCTCAGTGAAGCATCCATGCGCTCTTTTATGTTGAGCATCACACACCCACCCCTGTCCCGGAGCAGGGCAGTGTTTCAACGCTTTGCAACCCTGCTCTGCATGCCCACCAACATTTTCACGCTTGGTTAAATCCACCCTTATCTGGGCGGTTGGTTTCTCTGGTCATACGAGCGAAGGGCCACCCCTAAGTTCTTGATTGCGCAGAAGTCCAATTTGCAGCCCGGAGCACCAGAACAAGTGCATGCTCATCTGTGATGTCCATTGTTCTTTGGCCCTGACCTGCAACTGAAATGCCATCCACCATATTTGCTGACGCCGAAGGTGTGACGAACTATTTTCTGAAATCGCCGAAGCTGCTGGGGGAAATACGACGGGTCGAATGGGTGAGCTGTGGGAAGATGGGTCGGGCAGGCTAGTTGCATGGATGCCCTCGTTTCTTTTGTCTTCTGCTGGAAGTTGTCGGATCGGTGTCGGGAAAATCCCGTGCCAATGGTTGGGTAGTCACACCTTTGCAAGCGTAAGAAATAATTATGCCATAACTTCTTTCTTGTTCTGCTGTGGGCACTGGGAATTTTGGCGCGATTATCGCGCGGGAATATCGTTTTCGAATTTTCAACTGATGTCGAGCCCCCACGGGCTCGCGGAATTGTTTTTCTCTTCTGCTTTTTCGGAATTTCCTTTTGCAATTAGGACTAAGGCTAGGAATTTAGGTACTCTGAATTTTGTTGCGCCATGCTTGCGCGCATCTTGCCGCGCTGGGAACTGGGCTCTGACTGGGTCGCGCCCTTAATCTTGTGTAACTGTCGTTTTTGGCGGGCACGATTGTAACTGTATCCTTTTTCCTTCTTGGTTTCCTCGTGTTTGCCCTCCTCCTCCTTCTTCATCGCCTTACATACTTTGTTCTAATTGGCCGGAGCGCATTCATGACCGGATCAATGCGTGGAGTGTGGCTGTGACCCCCACACTGCGGCCTGGCCATACAGACGTAGGCCCTTCTCTCTTCTCCTCTTGTCTACCTGGGCTTAATCCCGTACTTTTCGTGCAGGCACGCATGCTATAAATTTTGCAAACGTGATTAGTCTACTCTCTAAGAATTTTGAGGTTAGCACGATCAGTGAGGGTCGGCTAACGAGCAAGTTTCGAAGGTGAGTGAGTGCGAGAGTTGGGCGATCCGACGAGCTGGTGTCGGGTATGCGGGGTTGACGTGCGGGGCCGCGACGGACTGTGGCGCACGGGCGAACCTGGCTTGCATGCTCGAACCAAGCAGGGTGAGAACTCTGTGTTGATGCGAGGCGACGGACTGCCCGCATTGGGAGTGTGGAGCAGAGAGAGAGAGAGTGCGCGCGCGCGCGCGCGCGCGCGCGCGAGAGAGAGAGAGAGAGAGAGAGA